TTCCCACTCACGTGAAACCACAGGCCTTGGGGGTGATGGTGAGGGCGGGCCTGTCCCTCCTGTGGCGACTGGCTGCCCAGAGCCTCCCAGAGCCTCCCAGACCCTCTTGGTCACTTCCTCAGGCTCTCCTGTTTCCCCCCTTCCCGCCAACACTCCATTGACCTAAAGCAGAACCCAGAACAGCGGGCGGATTGGGAAGTTCAGGTAAAGATCCTCGGGAAATGATGGCTACGCTGCTTCCCCACGTGTCTTTAAATACACGGTAAAAGGAATGGAGGGGTACAGACTCTGTGTTGGCTGGAGGGAAATGGAGGGGAAAAGGGAAGCGGCCCACCCCCTTCTGGTCCTGGAGAGAACGAACCCCCCGCCCCCCACCTCCGCAGGCCAGGGAATCTGACCTGCTGGCCGCTCAGAGATGGCATTTTTACTGGAGGCACTAACCCTGGTACTTTCAGAGGGTTTGCGCCTGTTTCTTTTAAAGGACTTGTTAGTAAATTTTAAAAGAGAGTTGTTGTAGGGGCGCCTGGATGGCTCAGTCGGTTGAGCTTCCAACCTCGGCTCAGGTTTGATCTCTCGGTTTGTGGTTTGTGGTTTGTGGGTTCGAGCCCGGTAGAGGCCCACATTGGGCTCTGTGCTGACATCTCAGGGCCTGGAGCCCGCTTCGGATTCTGTGCCTCCCTCTGTGTTCCTCCCCGACTTGCATTCTCTCTCTCTCAAAAATAAATAAGGATTTAAAAAAACTTAAAAGGGAATCATTATAATTATTAATAAATGGAGGCTTTATAACACTGAATTTTATTGCATTGTCTCTCCTCTTCCTTATAATAACCCTATGAAGTAGGTACTTAAAATTTTTTTCCCCCAATTTGCCGTTGACAAACTAGGTTGGTGAATTAAGTGACAAGCCAAGGTGGCAGAGCTAGTTAGTGCCGGGGCAGGAATTCCAGCTCTGCATGTCTGAGAGAGCCCATGTCAGGCAGATGGGAAGTGTGAGGTTAACAGATGATCTGCTAAGCACCAGACGGAAGCCGTGGGATAGTCCTGAACTGAGCCTGTGTTTTCTCAGGGAGGAGCACAGAGGAACAGAACCTTTGCCTCAACTACCTTACTGGGTTGTTAAATAGGACAACACATGGGAAGGCCTTATATAAAGCATGTCATACCTTTCGGGTATGTTCTATGAGTCCTCAGGGACAGTACGTGGCACATCACAGTCATTCGTTAAATATGTGTTCAACACTGAAGCTCAGATGTTTGAATCTTCAAAAGTGCATCGTTACAATAATTAAAGCAAATGCCTGTTTTATTTCTCATGGCTCAAAAAGCCAGTGATTTTAGGAACAAGGGGGAAAATACTGTTAAAACAGTCTACTCTTTGAGAGCTATCCAGTAAGTTTCCTTGGCTTGTCTTTCCTGTGAGGGGCTGTGTAATGGGGGTTTCCATGAACTCACGAAACAAGATGGCAGAGGGGAAATTTCTGAGTCTCTTCCTTTTTATCAAAGAGCTTTGCATTTGCTACTGGCTTCAAAAAGCTCCAAAATGTGATTCCCTCCAGTTTTTAGTGACATCAAAGATTGGATCCAAGCATGGCGCACTCCTGCGTGTGCTCCACGATCTAATTATGTAAAAGGGTGATCAGCACTCAAGGTCTCCAGCCCACGAATTGCACAGGACGGTGCCTTCGTGCGAATGAAGGGATGTCACTGCTGGCCGCAGGCCTGGCTCGGCTCCATCTCTCTTGCACAAAGGCACTTCTGTGTCATTCACGATGGCTCCACACTCGCCCAGGACAAGACCGTGCGCACGGCACGGTGACTTGCAATGCTCTTTTCTTCATCCATTTCCAACCGTGGTGCCTTGTACCTGCAGATCCTCTATCAGGAAGGGTCCTAAAATTCTCAGAAGGAGTTTCACAGTGTCTTACAAAACCAGACATGTTCTTAACATAGGACCCAGCACATCTTACTCCTTAGGACTTACCCAAAGGACTTGAAAGTTTACGTCCATACTAAAGCCTGCACTTGGTTTACAGCAACTTTATTCGGAATTGTCAAAACTTGGAAGCAACCAAGAGGCTATTCAGGAGGTGAATGGACAAACCGTGGTACACGGAGCTGATGCATTATTATTTGGTGCTAAAACCAAACAAACTCTCCAGGCATGAAAAGACATGGAGGAAATTGTAGGTGGATATAACTAAGTGAAAAGAAACCAGTCTGAAAAGACCAAACGCTGTAGGGCTCCAACTATATGACATTCTGGGAAGGCAGCACTAGAAGACAGTCTGTCCTTTTAACAGGGGGGCGGGGGGAGGGGATGAATGGGCAGAACACAGGACGTTTAGGGCCGTGAAAATACTGTGTATGATACTATAACGGTGGATGCACGTCATTATACATTTGTTCAAACCCAGAGAATGAACAGCACTGAAAACGAACCCTAATGTGAACTATGGACTTGGAGTGAGAATGTGGTCAGGGTGGGTCCATCGATTGGAACAGATGTGCCACTCCGAAGGGGGGGGGTTGCCTAAACTGGGGAGGGGGGGGTGGAGTGTGTGGGTGGATAGGCGGTGTATGGAAACTCTCTGTACGTTATATTCAAGAAATAAGCTCTGCTTTTTTCAGAGGTAGCTTTACTTGACCTTTACTTAAAAAAAAAAAATTAAAGAAGACCACACAATCCTTGCAGAACGGTTGTTACAAAAATCAAATACCCAAGTGGCTGGGAAGGACTGTCCTAAATGCCTTTAAAGGCATATTCTCACAAATGTTAATCCTTTGTGTACACTTGGCTTTATGTTAAAAGAACACATCAAATTTTATATAATCACACAGGCATGTGAGTCATATACAAATACGTTCTTGCACATAATTATAAAGCTATTAGTTTACCCTGTGCAAACATATATGCGAAGCTAAATTTATCATCTTCAAACACCACTTCGGTTCCTGCTTGGTTTTTTAACTGCCCAAATTTTAGGTTTCCGCTTTTCCTAAGTCTCTCTTCAGTCCCAATTCCCACCCTATTTTTGTGTAAATCCAAGTTTTCTCCTAAAACTTCGCTGTATTTCTGGAAGAGAACCTCTAACAACGCATGAAAACCACCAGCAGCGAGGAACTGATTTAGTTTATGAGTTACAGGACAACAGCTCGGTGGGTCCTCTGTGTTTACATCTGTCTTTTCTTTCTTTGTATTTTCCATTTGTTGTTGTTTTTACTGCCTCTGCCCATGCACCCTTTTCAACTACTGGCTTATAAATTTACTGACACAGTTCAAATATCCTGAGTATAAAAATTTCTAGAGCAGATTTTTCTCAACCTAAGTTCCTTTGTGGAAATCATAAAAATCTCATAGTTTTTTACAGATACATAGACCAATGGAATAGAATAGAGAACTCAGATTTGGACCCACAAATGTATGGCCAACTAATCTTTGACAAAGCGGAAAGAGTATCCAATGGAAAAAAGACAGCCTCTTTAACAGATGGTGCTGGGAGAACGGGACAGCAACATGCAGAAGAATGTAACTAGATCACTTTCTCACACCATACACAAAACTAAACTCAAAATGGATAAAGGACCTGAATGTGAGACAGGAAATCATCAAAATCCTAGAGGAGAAAGCAGGAAACAACCTCCTTGACCTCAACCGCAGCAATTTCTTACTTGACACATCCCCAAAGGCAAGGGAATCAAGAGCAAAAATGAACTACTGGGACCTCATCAAGATAAAAAGCTTCTGCACAGCAAAGGAAACAATCAGTAAAACTAATTGGCAACCGACAGAATGGGAAAAGATAGTTGCAAATGACATATCAGATAAATGGCTAGTATCCAAAATCCATAAGGAATTCACCAAACTCCACACCCAAAAAACAAAACAATCCAGTGAAGAAATGGGCATAAGATATGGACACTTCTCCAAAGAGGACATCCAGATGGCCAACAGACACATGAAACGATGCTCAGCATCCCTCATCATCAGGGAAATACAAATCAAAACCACACTCAGATACCACCTCACGCCAGTCAGAGTGGCTAAAATGAGCAAATCAGAGAACTCTAGATGCTGGCGAGGATGTGGAGAAACGGGCACCCTCCTACACTGTTGGGGAGAATGTAAACTGGTGCAGCCCCTCTGGAAAAGTGTGGAGGTTCCTCAGGAAACTAACAATAGAACTCCCCTAGGACCCAGCACTAGCACTGCTAGGAATTTACCCAAGGGATACAGGAGTGTTGATGCATAGGGGCACGTGTACCCCAATGTTGATAGCAGCACTCTCCACAATAGCTAAAACATGGAAAGAGCCTAAGTGTCCATCAACAGATGAATGGATCAAGATGTGGTTTATCTATACTGTGGAATACTCCATGGCAATGAGAAAGAATGAAATCTGGCCACGTGTAGCAACGTGGATGGAACTCGAGGGTGTTATGCTGAGCGAAATAAGTCAGGCAGAAAAGGACAGCTACCATATGTTTGCATGTATAGGAGGATTAGGAGGAACTTAACAGAGGACCATGGGGGAGAAGGGGAAAAATAGTTGGAGAGAGGGAGGGAGGCAAACCATGAGAGACTCTTGAATGCTGAGAACTCAGGGCTGATGGGAGTGGGGGAGGGCACTTGTGGGGACGAGTACGGGATGTTATATGGAAACCAACTTGATAAACTATTTAAAAAAATAAAATCTCATAGTTTTTTGAAAATAGGTGGTTTTAACTTTTTCCAAATATAAAAATAGAGTACTATGTTCTTTCAAACCCCTAAGTGCTCCTCACCCCCCTGGTTACAACACTGTCCCCAGCTAGCACCGGACACCACCAGCCCCTGACGAAGAGTAAGTGCTACGGGAAGTGCACACACCCCGGGAACAGCTCCACCCCGCCTGCTGGCGACCCTGCAAGAGGCCTGGGAGCGGCTCCAACCACCCCTCCCAACCCTCCCATGTCCACCTCTTGATGTCCCGATAGTCACAGGAACAGCCTTTGCACAAAGATGAGTTGCTTCAGTGTTTTTTATTAAATGATACATCCCAAGTATCAAAGTGGCCTCGGTGCAAACAAACGACAGGACCAGGCAGACAAAAGCACCACGGACTACACGTGACAACTGTTTAGCTAATTCTGTTGCAATGATTTTGTATCAGTCTCCGAGCCGATGAACTCCAGCATTTTTTCTTAATCTAGTCCCGCATGATTCCAATTCCTGAGGGAAAGCTGGCGTCCACTGCAACATCCTTGGGTGTGAACCAAGCCCTCTGAGAAGAATTCAGGTATTTATACCCCCACACCCAATACAATGGAATCTGTATTGTTACCAGATACTACAGATTTCATTTAAAACTGGAAATGAGCCCTGATAGCACTTCTCTCTCTGTCATTCTGGCTGGTCAAGAGGGCTGCGCCAAGTCCCCTCGCCTGTACAGCAGCGCTCCAGGGGGCTTCCTCAACAACTTTCTGTGCTCGGGCAGAAGTTCTCGGTAATAACGTGTAAGGACTGAACACTGACCGCCACACAGAAACTCCGAAGTGTCAATAGCTTCCGAATGCAGCACCGCATCAGCTCCCTGGAGACGACACTGGCGCAGCTCCGGCCGGGCCCACGCTCCCCGCAGGGGTGTGTAAGCCGAGCGCTGTCGGTGAGTGGCGGCCCGCATTCCCCTGCTGACTGCGGAGCAGGTGTGGTCGGGCACCAGTCTGGGGGTCCCGCGTCATAAACACGTCTTAATAAATAGCAAAATGGCATTTTAGAGAGAGCACACTAAGAGCTCTTCGCAACGTTTTCATCCCAAGAACAAAAACGGACGTCCAGGAGACCGCGAGAGCCCGAGCCGGCGCGGGGCCCCCGGGCGGCTCCTCTCCTTCAGGAAGTGAGGCCACACCGAGGTTACAGGAGGCCGTCGCTTAAAAAGCGATTTCTGGTGTTTCTCCTAAAGCCTGTCTCTTCATGCTTACTCCACATTCTTTATATAATAAACTCTTTGTTTCACTTACAGAAAAATTAAAAGAATTATTTCCCCCTCTACCTTTTAATTAAATCTTCCAGTAGAAGCCAAAATGATCCAAGGAAAGAAAAGCTACATTGTTACCTAGTTTAAAAGTTCAAATTTAGATAGTAATTCAGATATTTAAACCTAATTATAAATGGTTATCTGAAAAATCACTAAACATAGGGGAAAAAAACACAGTTTACAGGAATTAGTTTTTTCTGGCTTTAGTATTCTTTTAAATGTTTCCTTAGAACATGAATCCGTTTTTCTACAAATCCACATAATTCTAGCCTGAAGGAAATTTCATTAATGTAATTTTGTTAAAGAGCAGAGCATATGACTATAAAGACCTGAATTTTTTTTTAAGAATATACAGTGTACTAAAAAATCCCTTCAGTTCTCCCAAATTTAAAAAAACGTTATCACACCTTCTAAAAACAACGTTTTTTTCTTTCAAGTCAAATCCAAGTAGCTAGAAGACAGAGTCAGCTTTTATTCACAAAAGTAGAAAAACAGGAGGTGCTAAATGTTTCGCAGAAACTCGAATTTCTACAAAGTACAAGTATCAGCGATGTATTTCAGTAATGGTGGGAGAATAAATATGCTACCTAATACACAATTTTGAGACAAAAGATGCCCCGGATGGAAATGTCATCTCTTCGCTGCTTGAGAAACAAGATGATCTTCATTATTAGTAACAATCCCCTTCTCTTTTCTTAGGTGGTCATCTGAAATTCACAGAAATAAAGGTCAGTACTTATCCCAAGTCAAAATAAGCAGTGTGCACACATACTACATGTATTCTGAGATATTATATATTGAATATTGTAGGAGTTCTTTTTTTAAAAATATATTTCAAATGTTTATTTTTGGGGGGGGGAGAGTGGGAGGGAGAGAGGAGCAGAGAGAGGGAGACACAGAATCCGAAGCAGCTCCAGGCTCCCAGCTGTCAGCACAGAGCCTGATGCAGGCCTTGAACTTGTGGACCACAAGATCATGACCTGAGCTGAAGTCGGACGCTTAACTGTGCCACCCAGGGACCCCTGATATTGTAGGAGTTCTTCAGGTGGCTCAGGACAAAGAAAGGAAGTCACCATTTTTACAACATTACCGAGGAAAGCAGAAAACAGTTGGTACTAAAGACTCTCTCCAGCGTGGAATGCGAGCAGCCCAGAGTGAACCCGCAAATAAGCAGTAGGTACAGACTCCTCTTACGCCCTATGTAAGGAATGGGATTCGCAAGCACAGTGCTCCGTGAGCATGCTAAAGGGTGCCAACGTTCTTCAACTAAGAAACAAACCTTTCTTCAAACAGAAGGGTCTCTCAACAGCACCCTCGTGTGGCCAGAAAAAAACTAGCAGTTTCCATCTTCCTACCCGAATCAGCAAAGTATCCAAGAAACTAGAAAATGTTCTCCAGTCAAAATCACAACAAAGCTCTGTGAGGGTTCAGAAGACCCTAGGGCCCCAGTGACCACCCCCTGTGCTCTGGCAACAGAAGGAGCCCTCATCACTTCTGCTCAATTTTGTCATGGGGGCAAAGGGGTGGAGGGCAGAAGTGTTCTAGAGCAAAAGAAATGCAACACCAATGCAATGCAAAGACTAAATTCTGAGCGATTGTGAAAAACTGAAAATATTGCTCAGACACTTTTTACAATGGAAAAAGCCATTTTTAAGACAATTTTGATGACAGGAGAGAAAGAATACCAATTTAGGCAGTTGTTAGAAATCCGCATTTTAGCACCACAAGCACATACTGGATCTTTTTTCTTTAATATTTATTTTAATTTTTGTTTACTTGTGTGTGTGTGTGAGAGAGAGAGAGAGAGAGAGAGAGAGAGAGAGAGAGAGAGAATGAGCACGAGCAGGGGAGCGGCAGAGAGAGAGAGACAGACACAGAATCAGAAGCAGGCTCCAGGCTCTGAGCTGTCAGCAAAGAGCCTGACGTGGGGCTCGAACCCACAAACGATGAGATCATGACCTGAGCGGAAACCAAGCACCGGATGCTTAACCGATGGAGCCGCCCAGGTGCCCCGGGACCCTAATTCTGAAGGCAGGCTGGCTGTACGCCGAGTGCCATGAGCCCACGGCAGCTGGTCACTCACGAAAGACGGAGACCCCAGGCCTGGGTCACAGATGACGACCACCCTCGTTTTAGGCAGCTTTGCTGGACAGAACAAAATGGAGACCACACCCAGTTGAGGTTTTCTGGAAAAGCACTGTAAAGAAACGAAGTACGGCCTGCATGTCCTTCACAGGTGTGCAGTAAAGCTGCGCTAATCATTTCCGCTGTCACAGCGCAGCTGGGTTTTGTCTGCAGCGAGAACTACTCTGCCTCCAATATCTGAAGCGCTAATACCAGCGGCACTAATGGGCTGGTTACCATTCCAAAGGGGAGTGTGTCCGCACCCACCCTGTGAGTCTTCAGCAACTGAGAGCTCTCCGAGAGAAGTGCTTTCACGCTGGCCTGCTTCAGGCATGTGTCCAAATAGAAGAGAATTTCATGTTCACGTTTTCTATTTCAGGTGGATGGGCTTCTGTGGAGATCAGGTATTGTCATCTGAAGAAGAATTACTGTAGTATCTTCATAACCTTTTCAATGTCAAACCAAACACATTTTCATCAAACGGCGAGCTAGAATCCAGAAGTAAACAGAATGCTCGTGTGCGACCAGGACAAAATGCAGTTTTGGGCTGATAATTCCTCACAGATCATTGCGAAAAGAGTTCACTGTTACCAAGAAAATGTTTGCTGGTCAAGAAAAATAATTTGCAAAATCACTGCTCTTCTATTAGTTCAGCGGCGATCCTCATTTCTGAGCTTTCCACACATGGGGCACCCAGAGGCTTATGGCTTGAATTGGAGTTTCTGAAGGCCCCAAAGTAACTAATGCACTCTCCTCCCTCCCTCCCTCCCTCTCCCTTCCACTCCCCAGCACTCTTACCTCCCAGGTGTGAAGCTACCACTAGCTATTCTGTGACCCACATCTCAAAAAGAACAGAACTCAGTTAAGAAATACTGTTACTTGTAACTTTGTTATTAGTCATTAGGCATGAATGAGATGGGGGGCCTGGGTGGCTCAGTCAGCTGGGCCCAGGTTATGAGCTCACAGGTCAATCCCCACATCGGGCTCTGTGCGTCAAGCTCAGAGCCTGAAGCCTGTTTCCGATTCTGTGTCTCTCTCTCTCTGCCTCTCCTCTGCTCATGTTCTGTCTCTCTCAAATATCAACATTAAAAAAAAAAAAAAAGCTTAGGAGCGGGGCAAGCACGTGGATGGAACTGGAGAGCATTATGCTAAGCGAAGTCAGTCAGAGAAGACAAATAACATATGATTTCACTCCTATGTGGAATTTAAAAAACAAAACACATGAGCAAAGAGAAAAAAAACAAAGAGGCAAACCAAGAAAGAGACTCTTAACTAGAGAGCGCACACTGTCAGTCACCAGAGGGGAGACGGGGCGGGGGGGGGGGGGCGGGGGAAATCGGTGATGGGGATGAAGGAGGGCCCTTGAGATGAGCACAGTGTACGCTTGAAAAAAATAGAAATAAAAAGCATACAAGGCAGGAAAGTTATTTCTCAGGAGATTATTTCTCCTTCTGGGAGAAACTACCCACGTCGTGGTTTGCTGCTGAGCGCTGTCTGTGTGTCCATCACCCCGGTGGCGATTACACAGAGCAACTGCCATCGTCATATCACCTGTAGGCACGTGAGCTGGCGGGGCCTTTTTGGCGGGGAGTCGGACAGTATCTTCCCCACTTTTTAGCACGTCCCTGCTCTGAACCAGCAACGGAATTCTGGGCACCCACACAACACAAATACCCGTGCGGGCAAAGAAGAAACTCTATGCTGCAGTACAGTGAACGCCAGCAACTCACACCACAGAGGCGCATGAGTAAGGGGCGGTCAGCAAGGCCACGAGCGACTACACGAGGCTAAGAACGAGGTCCGCGTCGGTCTCACGTGCTGACAGGACAAGTGACGAGAAGCAAACTGCGGGCTGACACGCAGACACTGAAACACACAGGAAGTGAGTCCCACCTGCGAACAGGGGCCTCCCCTGTGGAAGAAGAGACACGAGGAGAGAGACACGAGGGAAGAGGCTAAAGCAAATTTTACACCATATTATTTGACTGTTTCGAGATGTGCTCGTGCACGTGTTTTGGTCTAAGTACTTGCCGAGCGGGAGGCACTACTGACAGTTGCTCAAAAGCCCTGAAACATGGAGGCAAACGGCGGTCGGACGTGCTGATGTGGCTAAAGATGGTGAGCGAGTCACCTACCCTCACAGTCTCGGTTTTCCCAAGTGTAAAGTGAGGAGGCGGCAATGATTTCCTTTTCAACGGCCCGTTGGCTCGGCTGGGCGCTCTCAGATGAGATGGGCACTCCTCAGGAAACCAGCAATCCCCTCCTTGGGAGGTCGACTTGCCTCACCAATGCCTCCCTTCCAGATCGCGGGAGACACAGCGAGTACTCGGCATGACTAGCACTGCCCACAGCCGCTTACAGAAACTTCCACGGGCGATCTGTGTTTTAGGTGCTCCCTACCAGCTTCTGTCCACATTCTAGAGCTACAGCTGTTCTGTCCATCTGCTGCCTGAGCCACCCCCGCCCTTGACTGCCCTTCTTAGAAAGAGGTCAACTCTACCAAAGCTGGAAAGCAGCTGATAAACCACTCCATTCAGATTATGAAATTGAGAGCCTACTGCTGATGTGAGCCAAATAGAAAGCTCATTTTGAGAGCAAACGCTCTGAAAGAAACCGAGGCTATTCTGCTAACAATCTGTTACATATAGGTAACTGCCAGTCCTCCTTAAACAATATTCTAAAAATGCAAAGGACACAGAAACCTATGGCTTCTCTATCTGTATCGTTCTTCACTAAAACCGGGGGGGCGGGTGGCATGATGAGCAGATAAAATGCTATTTGTTCAGTAGACCAACAATCTAAGCCGCTCCAAAGAGTACAAATCTATGCGAAAATCAGGTTTTCCCAAACTTCTGTAAAGAAATAATATTGAAGAATTCTTTCTGTCCAGTCATTCCCCTCAAGACCCTCCTTCCAAAACGCATTTTTTAAAGGATGATAAGTTCACAGACTAAAACTGTATTAGGTATAAGTGCAATTAAATTATGAATCAAAAGCTCAAGAAAAACTATTCTGGAGAGAAAAATATTTAAGAAGATATACTTGCTGACAGCAAAATGATACACTTCAGGAAACTCATACCCCTTTGCCTTCTTCCGCTAGGATGTCTGCCAAGATGTGGGTTTGGAGGCCGCAGTGAAGAGCCTCTCAGAGACGGACTTTGGAGATCCTCCTTAGCTCCATGCAAGAAATGAGCTAAAATGCCATATAAAAGAGGTCTAGAGCAGGAAGAAAACCAAAATCGATTAAAATAGCAGATACAGGACGAGCTTAAAACAAATCTCTATTCTTTATGTTTGTTTATTTTCAGAGCGAGCGAGCAAGCATGCACCCATAAACCAGGAGGGGCAGAGGGAGAGAGCATCCCATGCAGGTTCCACACTCAGCACAGGGCCCGACTTGCGGCTCCACTGGATCGTGAGATCACAACCTGAGCCGAACTCAAGAGGTGGGCACTCATCCAGGCACCCCAAAACCTCTACTCTGTAAGGCAGCCTCTGCCCCCCAAAACGGCCAGATAATTCTCCGTACTTAAAGAAGGTGCAGGGTTATTATCCAATTCGCAAACTATTCATGCTTTTTAAAATTTAAGAGTACCATTTAACTCGAAAGACAATTTAAAAATCCAGAGAACTCGTGTTACCAACTTAAACATCATCTAAACTGAAATACAAGGTCAAACAATACACAGGAATTCAGCTTTTCAACTTTAAAGTGCAGCGTAAAACCTCGCAGTACCCAGCACTGTCCGACACACAACAGGTATTCAGTAAACACTGGATGGATAAATCCTTGCTAAATTAGGTCATATGTCTCCAGAGCCAGGCTGCCTGGGTTCAAATCCTGGCTTCACCACTTGACCTCAACAAGATTCTTAATGTCCCCTCCTCAGAAACGTTCCTTCCTCTGTAAATGAGGGTAAGTGCAGTCCTTAACTCCCAGGGCTACTGTGGACTAAATGAGCTGTTTTATAAGATGCCTCAACCCTTATGAAAGGAATAGACTTATGATCCAGGAATATGAAACAGGTCTTTTTGTTCATTTTTAAACCAATGGGTCCCAAAGAGCTAACTGGCTCAAGAAGACTTTTAAATTTAAATACTTTTGCTCTTCAATTAACATTGGTAAAGTTTTAAGACTTAAAATTTTAAGATTCAGATATCCTTAAATGTTATTAGAAAATATACAGCTAGCACATTTAATCCACAAATTCATGGATATTAAGGTTTTTTTTTAAATACAAGTGAAAAATGGAGAATTTTTTTCAAGATCAGCCTTATAATACTGTATTCGCAATGTTAAAACACAGAAACTCTGAAAACTAGTTTTCTTCATAAATTTGGAACAAATTCATTTGGTGGCATGGCCTGACCTAACATAAGGCTATTTTAGACTTTATCCTACTTTGTGTGAAAATTCTTAAGTTTCCCTGAAAAAGATGAATGTGTCTGTGGAGAGCTACTCTACACTCACACAGGCACATGTAGCTAGAGTGCTGGGGGTGCTTCACCCGGCTCTACAGAGTCGTAACTGAGAAACAGAATTGTACAGTATTTAAACCGTATAGTGTGGAAACGGGACACTCACATACACACACACTGCGAGGGAATTCCCCTCAGCGAATTAAGTAACATATCCATCACCTCATACACTTACTTCTGTAAGCGTGTGTTACTTTTGTGGGTGAGAAAATTTGAATTTTACAATCCATGTTACTTTTTAAAATCTGAGAACTTCACCATGGAAGTGTTTTTAAACAAAGCGGTGTCTTTTAAAAAGCAAAGTGTTGGCAGTTTGAAGTGTTAAGTTGGAAAAGAAAGTGACTGGAGACAGAGGGAGCTGACGGAGGCTTCCCAACAACGCAGGACGCAGGGCAGGAGGTGGGAGCGGGCAGGGGAGGTGAACCTGCAAAGTGAGCGGTGCAGGAAGGAAGCAGAGCCACAAACTTCAGGGACTCTGAGTCGAAGCCCCAAATGCTACACAAGACGCCTATAAGGGGGGGTTAAGGAGATGAAAACAACAGATTTCACTGTTGGTCACACGGAGTTTGAGAAGCCAGCAGAAACGTGGGCCCACAATTCAGGGCGCGGGTTAGATTTCAAGCCAGTCACCAGCAGGGAGGCATCATCAAAGCCGTGCAAACTGGAAAGAGTGGCCGGGGGACAAAATGTGGTTTTGTTAAGGACAAAACTCGAGTGGTCACAATTTGAAGGAAGCTTAGGGGAGCCCGTGAAGAAACTGAGAACACTGTTAGGAAAAGAAAAACCTACATAGTAAAGGATCATAAAAGACAAATGACAACAGGGGTTTTGAGGGAGAAAAGTCAGTATTACAAAATGCCACAGAAACTCCAGGAAAACGGAGCTTCTCATACTGGAAGTACACAGCACAGAGCCGCTCTGGTGCCGGGGCCTTGGGACCGAGCACAGGATAAAGGCGGCATGTGACCCTGGGGCACTCACCTTACACAGGCTTGTGGGAGAGTTCAATTTAACTGATAAGTCATTTTAACATTTTTACGGTAGAACAATCATACCATGAAGTAGAAGGAAAAAAATTCGACAAAGGTTTAGAAAGAGAAAACCTAAGACTTCAAAGGTATTTCTTGCTAAGGGAAAGGATCCTTTGAGCCAAGTCCCCTGGCCTCCTAGGGACTTTTTTTTTTTTTTTTTTTAATGCCACTAAGGGATTCTCTAGAAAAAGTTTAAGCAACCCTGAAGTCGGAAAAGAACCAACAAACTACTAGAAAGTGGTCACCCTTCCTTTCAAGAGCACAGCTCCAGTTTAAACGCTGATGGGAGAATTTAACATGCAGAGAGAGCAAAAGAGACACAGTAACAAAATGAAAACAGACAGCTAGTTTTCACTGAGTACAGTGGTGAAAACGAGTTGTCTGGGTTTTAGGGGGATCAGAGTATATTATTAGGTTGAAGTGAAGGAAATAATCGGGAGGAAGAGTTCAATGTAAGGAAACAAGTGATAAAGCAAAGCCTCAGAGGGAACAAAAAAAAAGGGGGGCGGGGATGCATCAAGAAGCCAAGAGTGAGCCTTAGCAGGACGGTTGCTCAGTCCTCTGAAACCAGGGGAATTCCACTCCAGAGAGCAGACGTCTTATCCTGTTTATGGCTACATACCTTGCACTTGGTGTCGTGTTAGACACACACCCGAACCAAATAAATACCTACTGAATTAAGATGAAATCAAACCACCACTATGTGATTATGACTCCAATACAACACTATCTAAAAATGTATTTTTAAGTTTTTATTTTAAAAAATATTATTAAAAAAATGTTCTCGGCACAAAAACAGACACTCAGATCCGTGGAACAGAATAGAGAACTCAGAAACGTGTGGCCAACTCATCTTTGACAAAGCAGGAAAGAATATCCAGTGGAATAAGACCGTCTCTTCAGCAGGTGGTGCGGGGAAGACTGGACAGGGACATGCAGAGAATTGAACCTGGACCACTTTCTTACACCAGACACAAAAATAAACTTAAAATGGATGAAAGACCTAAGCATAAGACAGGAAGCCATCAAAATGCCAGAAGAGAAAGCAGGCAAAAACCTCTTTGACCTTGGCCGCAGCAACTTCTTACTCAACACGTCTCCAGACATAAGGGAAACCAAAGCAAAAATGAACTACTGGGACCTCATTAAATAAAAAGCTTCTGCACAGTGAAGGAAACAATCAGTGAAACTAAAAGGCAACTGACAGAATGGGAGAAGATATTTGCAAACAACATATCAGAGAAAGGGTTAGTATCCAAAATCTATAAAGAACTTATCAAACTCAACACCCAAAAAACAAATCATCCAGCAAAGACATGGGCAAAAGACATGAATAGACACTTCTCCAAAGAGGACATCCAGATGGCCAACAGACACATAAAAAAATGCTCAACATCACTCCTCATCAGGGAAATACAAATCAAAACTACAATGAGATACCACCTCACACCTGTCAGAATGGCGAACATAAACAACTCAGGCAACAACAGATGTTGGCGAGGATGCAGAGAGAGAGGATCTCTTTTGCACTGCTGGTGGGAATGCAAACTGGTGCAGCCACTCTGGAAACCAGTATGGAGGTTCCTCAAAAAGTCAAAAATTGAACTACCCTATAACCCAGCAACTGCACTACTAGGTATTTATCCAAGGGATACAGGTATGCTGTTTCGAAGGGGCACATGCACCTCCATGTTTATAGCAGTGCTATCAACAATAGCCAAAGTATGGAAATAGCCTAAATGTCCATTGATGGATGAATGGATAAAGATGTGGTACGTATACAATGGAATATTACTCAACAATCAAAAAGAATGAAATCTTGCCATTTGCAAATTTGTGGATGGAACTAGAGGGTATTATGCTAAGTGAAATTAGAGAAAGACAAATATCATGTAACTTCACTCATATGACAACTTTAACATACAAAAGAGATGAACATAAGGGAAGGGAAGCAAAAATAATAGAAAAACAGGGAGGGGGACAAAACATAAGAGACTCTTAATATAGAGAAGAAACAGAGTGTTGCTGAAGGCTTGTGGGAGGGAGGTGGGCTTAATGGGCAAGGGGCTTAAGGAATCTACTCCTGAAATCATTGTTGCACCACGTACTAACTTGTATATAAATTATAAAAAATAAATTATAGGAGGAAAAAAAAAGGTCTTACATTGTGTTATCTTTTGATTCTTCAAATGCATTTAGTTCCCGGATGAGAAACTGTCTGTCCAATGGAACTACAGGCTGACCGGATTCTGGAGGAAAAACCAGGAGTCCTTATTCATCTAAAAAGCACATATGATTTTGATAAGAACCACTTACCAGGTATACAGACTTCCAGATTTTGGAAGACTGACGATGGCACATACCAAGGCAGACCCAACAGTATGTGAATTTATGGTTTTAAAAATATGTTTTGTTACATGCATAATGTAATAGAGTTTAACATAAATTCATTTTTCAAATTCCCCCATTTTTGCCTGGGAACATACTATTTCTCATACTGGACTTCAGAAGTCTTTTTTGGAAGAGGTTTACAAATTAAACACAGAATAGTAACAATATCCATCTGGGAGCAATAATTCTAGAAGTAAAATTGACCCAAATCTGAAATGCTGGCAAGGACACAGGCTAACTGGATACTCTCAGCCACTGCTTTGCTGGTAGGAGAGGCAAAATGGTACAGCCACTTTGGAAAAGGGTTGAGCCGTTTCTTACAAAGGTGAGCATGTACGCACCACACACAACCTCTCAATCCTACCCTTAGCTCTTGACTCAAGAGAAATGAAAGCTTACGTTCACATAGAAACTTGTGCGAGAATGTTTATGGCAGCTTGATAACCGCCCAAAACTAGAAACCACTGGTGATAATGGATGAGATCGGCACAGCCATACAAAGGAATGCTACTCAGGGGAGAAATACAACACAGCTGAATCTCAAATGCATTATGCTAAGTGAAAGGAAGTGGACTCACAAGGCTACTTCCTGATGGGTTCATTTATATGACATTCTGGAAAAGGCAAATGACAGGTACAGAAAACAACCGATCAGTGCCTGCTAGGGGTGGGGGTAGACAAAAAAGTGGACTACGACAGGGCACAGGGACTTTTTTGAGGCAATAACAATATTCTCCATTGTGACTGTAACTGTGGTGGTAGTTACACAACGGTATGTGTTTGGTAAAATTCATAGAGGTGTACACTCACCAAGGTATATTGTCCTGTTAATTATACCTTCGTTTTTTAAAAAAGCCAAGACACTGAATATGAAACTTGACTTGACACTTAATATGATGGTTACTACATTTCCTTTTAGGGAAACCCAATCCAAGACCTCATTCATTGTATTTTCATCAGTTTCTTCTTCTCTGAATACTAACGGTATATGGAGCCATCTGTAACAGACTGATCAAAGTGGGTACTGATACTGAAGATCCTTAGGCCACTAAAAATCCTGGTCTTTATTCAGTTAAGGTATATGCTTAACATTAAATAAGACATCTCGAGTATCAATAAAAAAGCTATTAAATCAATGTTCCAGCATCTCAAAGAATTCATTCTCTCTTCTAAAATCTACTTCACGGTAGATGGCTCAGTCAGTTAAGCGTCTGACTTCGGCTCAGGTCATGATCTCACGGTTCGTGGGTTCAAGCCCTGGGTCGGACTCTGTCCTGACAGCTCAGAGCCTGGAGCCTGCTTCGGATTCTATGTCTCCCTCTCTCTCTGACCCTCCCCTGCTCACGCTCGCACTCTTGCTCTCAGAATAAAAACATTAAAAAAATAGTAATAAATTAAAAAAAAAATCTACTTCATGACCTCTTTTCTTTGATGAAGGATGAGACAGTCTTAAAGCACAGAGTAAGCCTTAAAGCAGGCAATCAAATGATACACGTGCCACCTTTCCAATTCCATTTCTTCCCCAGTGCAGAGGAAAGTCTGTCTTGACTACCGTGCATACCTTCCAGTTCTTTACTTTCTTCAGAAATAAAATTTAACAGACAAATGTCTCTAACTGTCCATCTCCTCCCCCTCAATACCACTTCTCTGAGTTTTCTCACTGGAGTTTACCTTCCTAATTCTTTTTAAATACCATGCTTTTACACACATTTGCATATATCCATAACCTATAATAGTAGCAATATTTTAAAGTTTTGTCTCTAGTGTTTCTTATTTTTAATAAAAAAAAGATACATCAAAACTGTATTTTTAAAGCATATATACAGAAAAAAGCTCGCAGCAAACAAAACGTAAACAACTGCTTATTCTCAGCATCAGGAATTACAGATGAATTTTCAAAGTATGCATCTAGTGTTTAGTTATTCATTCTCCCCTACAATGCAGTAAACCCCAGGAGCTCATCCAAGCTATGGAAAGAACCCATGAGACGTGTATGTCCCTGTCACTCGGATGACACTGTGTGCTAATGGAAGTCAATTTCCAGCCTAAACATTTTCTGAGAAGTGAGGGAAGAGAAAAAGCAGATTCTGTTTCACCTAAGTAACAATAGCCTCTTACCTGATATGAGGACAGATGCTGTATACTTATATTTGTTGAATTCCAAATACTCCCGAATTAATTCATTAATTAGAAGGTTTTCATGAGACAGTGGCGGTCGGGGCTCACTTTCATCATTCAGGGCATTGAAAACTTCAGCTCGGATCCTTGCTTTTAAATGCCCTAATACTCCTCTTTTCTCCAAGGTGTCCTTTAAAACTGTTAAACACAAAATATTAGGTTTCAATTATAGAATAAATTTGGTCCTTTTTTAAAAGATTTTTTATTAAGTAATCTCTACATCCAACACGGAGCTCAAACTCATTCAAAGTCTTGAGATCAAGAGTCACACACTCCACAGACTGCGCAGGCCAGGCACGGCTCAAGGCTTAGGCATACTCTGAAGAAAAACGTGTAACTAGAAAATGGCCTAATAGCCATTGTTTTCATCTAAACAGTGTGCCAAATGGAAGTTATCCAATTAGCTACCACAAGTCATGTTTGTGATAAATATATAAAGTTCTCAAGTTGCAATGATTTGCTATTTTAATATATTTAAGCAAGTTCAAGTTTATCTTTCCAACATCATCACTGTCAGAAGCTACAGTCTGACACGCATCTTTAGTGAGGGAGGAAAGGGTGGCACAGAATTACGCTTAGTTTACCGGGGCCTGAAATTAACCCTACTGCCTCGTATGTTTTTAAGAGTGTTTAGCACTGCAGACAGGTTCTTTGTGTCACTAAAAATCTCTGGTCTAGAAAGGTGACTAAAGACATAAAAGGAAGGAATATGTTGTCTTTTGATAAAAACCTTCAATATCCCATTTAGAACAAAAAGGTATTTTGGGGGGGGCGGGTGTTTGTTTTTGTAAGACACTTACAAGTTAATTTCCTAAAAAACAGCAGGATTCTGAAATTATAAGCCTAGTTAGAAATCTAGCACCTGGCTCTATCACTGGCATCTTAAGGAATCAGGCATATATATGTTAACTGTAATCCAACTTCTTGATGAGCAAGAGTCGTACTGCAGTACCAGTTATGATAATGAGATTTAACTATAAATATTAGTATTGATACTGAAGGGCATTGGGCTGAACTGGCATCATTCCTTGCAGTGATCTGGAACCCTCTTTCACACTATCCCTAAAGGCTAAGTAACGCAGACAATCAACACATCTCACAGTGTCTAGAACATAGTAAGAGCTCAAAAACTCTACTTGGGAGCATTATAATACAGTGTCATATAATACTGGTGTAATAAACATAGTTTAATACTGTACTGTGCCCTACCAAAGGCACCAAATAAGTACATCAAAATAAAGAAAATTCATCAACAGAGCCCAAAGTGCTTATCCATGTGATTATAAACATAAAATTCCTTTAAACTTTAATAGACAACAGCAAAAACCTGGGTCATCTGATTCCATTACAGAGATACCACGTAGACTAAATTTTAACCTTTCTTGCTCCTTGTTTTTAAACCATCCCTTCAACCTATTCGGCAGGCGTGCCAGTAGTTATCACGCAATCAGACTGTGTAACAGGCCCAGAAAGGGAGGGCCCAGCCTTATCAGTCTCAGGGTCATCCACAGCCCTGTTAACTCCATCTTTGGAGTTTGATGGAGAGTTTCCGCTGCCCATGATCCTGTCCCAGTGACTGTATCTGCACACAGCACAGCCTCAAAGTCAACAGAGAAATGCGAATTAATGAAGCTGGAGTTGGGAAGACTAGGCCGCCAGCTCCCGCCTCAGGTGCCCCCAGGGGCGCCCGCTCCAACAGGACTAGTTCTACCTTGGGAGGTAGGAAAACGTGAGGCTTCAAAAGGGTAAAAGTCCATACAACGTAGGACAATTGCTCGGGAGACACACCGTCAGGGAGTTTCTCGTGGACACAAAGCAAATTCAGAACTGGACAACGCAGAAAAAACACACAGGGCTCCCTAGATCTGTGCGGGACACTCCTAACCCCCAGAGTTACATCTTCTTTTGGGGTTCCGTATCATTTTGCCCTTCCTATTATCGTGTTTACAACACTACCCTGTAACAACTTCCTCAGAAAGAGGTTGTTAACTTGCATTAATATCCCAAAGTATCTTTACCTTTTTTTGCTTAAACAAGTTTATTTATTTATTTTTGAGAGCCAGAGTGAGCAGGGGAGGAGCAGGCAGAGAGAGAGGGAGGGAGGGGGGGAGAGAGAGAGAGAGAGAGAGACACCCCCCCCCCCAAATCCCATGCGGGCTCCAACTCACAACCGCAGAATCATGACCTGAGCCTAAATCAGGAGCGAGGTGCTTAACCATCGAGACCACCCAGGCGCCCCGCCCCTTTCTGCCCCCTCCGCGAAGGATCTTTGAATCCTCTGAAGCTGGGGCTTGATTTTAGCTCAGGTCATGATCTGTGTGAGTTCCAGCCCCCCATCAGGCTCCCGGGTGGCAGTGTGGAGCATGCTTGGGATTCTGTTTCTCTCCCCGTCTCTCTCAAAACAAATAAAATTTAAAGAATCTTTAAAAAAAAAAAAATCCTCTGAAGCTGATGCAGTATCACATGTGTTATACATTCCCTGCGGGGAGTGAGATCTTATTCACGTGAAGTCCGTTATAGCTGATAAATGCAAGGCTTTTTTAGGACTGTTCACCAGCCCAGCGCCCAAATACACATTCCTGTCCATGCTTCCTGCATCCTATTCCCAAAGAGATTCAACCCCTCCCTGCCACATCTTTAAGAATTACTGCTTTGGATCCCAAGTTCCCTGAAAACTCAACTGGTCTAATTAACTGGGTACCAGGATCATCCAGGGATTAAGACCTAGAGTTCAGGTGCGGCTGATCTAGGTTCTCACACTGGGCCACTTTCTAGCGAAGTTACTTTGGGCGAGCTATTTCCCCTCGCGGCGCCTCTATTTCCCAGTCTATAAAATGGACATAAGGTTGTTACACAGAATCTATTAGGCAATAGTGGGGCCGGGCACTGCCTGACACTTAAGGCTCTGTTACTTATAATTGCTATCATTTGGACATTCGCGTCAAAGCCAACGGTGAACAAAAATGTTACCAGCTTCACGGACTCGGATCTTAATGGCCAAGCAAGGAAACTTCCTACCTCCAGTGTTTCCCAATGGAGAGCGGATTGTTTTAAGGATTCAGTGATAATTAACCAAGGATTTGGGACTGTACGTAACCCCAATGACGGCTGTGGGTACCGTAATCATGCAGTCCCAAAGGAAAGGAGTGCCCCAAAGCCTCGGCCCGAGAGCGGTCTCACAAATGCGCCAGAGGCCCGACGTGCAGGAATGCAGACTCCTCGGGCACCTGCGGGTCCCGCAGCTCCGGCTCCAGCTCAAAGCCGGTTTCAAAACTGCCCCAGTGCGACCAGCTTCCCTTACATAGGGCCCGGACCCGGCGGCGGCCGCCACACCAGCCGGACCCTCTGCGGGCCCAGACGCCGCAGAGCGAGCCCCCCCCCCCCCCGGAAAGGCTGACTCTGTGTCTCGCGCGCGCTCCTTTCGTTCCATCCTTTGCACGGGAGGAAGGCCAGACGCCTTCCACCCGGCAAACATCCCATGCGCACTCACCAGCCTTCAGCTCGGCAACAGTCGCCATTTTTCAACCGCCGTCAGGGGCGCGTCTCGGCTGTGCGCACGCGCAGCTCCGCCCCCCTCTGCGGCATGGTGTCCAGCCAATAGGTGCGCTGCTCTCGCTACACTCGGCCCCGCCCCTTCCAGTTTTCTCTCTCTGGAGTTGGGTGGGTGGGGACTCTCCGGAGGGATCTCACCAATCAGCGAGCTCTCTAAGTGTGAGGGTAGAGGGAGGAGGAGCCAGGAGTAAGGCATCCTGTAGCTTTGCAGGCCGGTGGGACTTTAGTGCTTTAGTTTACTAACCCTCCTAAGATCTGCCCACTGGTCCTCTCTGCAGCCTCAGGTACTAACTGTCAATGGTTACCATGTAGTAAGCCTGTGGTTCTCAAACTTGAGCGTGCCTCAGTCGCCTTGAAGACTTGTTAAAACAGATCGCTGGGTCCCACTCCTGGGGTTTCTAATTTAGTCCATCTAGGATGAGATCCGAGAACTGCATTTCTAACAAGTTCTCAGGGGATGGCGATGCTGCTGGTCTGGGGATCACACCTTGAGAACCCCTGTATTAAGTACTTACTACGAGCCTAACAGTGTGCTAAATCCTTTACTCACGTTGGCTTATTGATTTCTCTATTATTACTCGCATTCTAAAAGGAGACAGCTGAGTCTTTGATAACTGAGCAGGCTTAACCAAGATCACCAGCAAATGGAGGTAAGATTGGAATACAGGCCTCTTGCTTTTGAGGCCTGTTTTCTTCCACTGACACTTAATACTGGGTAGTACACATGAGGAGTCCAAGAGCTATCTGTGAATAATTGATGAACAAATAAACTCTACGATCCCAGTTTTGTACCCAAAACCTACCCAGTGGGAGGTTCTGTGATTCCAGTGAGGAATCCAGTTCTGTGCTTCCTTCCATTGCCAGGAAGGCCAACAGCTGTGACCTAGATCCTAGAACAGTGTTCTTTAAACTGCTAGTCTTTATCCGTAGTAGGTTTTGAAATCTATTTGAGTGGCTCCCAGTGAACATATTTTTAATGAAATGGAATAAACAAAGAAATACTGTTTTCTGAAACTTTTGTTTGAGTTATGGTGTATGTCCTGATTCCTGGTGTATTTTTTTTTAATTAAAAATTTTTTTTAATATTTTTTTTTTGAGAGAGACAATGTGAGAGGAGGAGGGGCAGAGAGAGAGAGGGAGACACAGAACCCAAAGCAGGCTCCAGGCTCAGAGCTGTCGGCATAGAGCCTGACATGGGGCTCAAACTCATGAACAGTGAGATCATGACCTGAGCCAAAGTTGGACACTTAACTGACTGAGGGTACCCAGGTGCTCCATCCCCTTTTTAAGTTTATTTATTTATCTTGAGAGAGAGAACTCACAAACCATGAGATCATGACCTGAGCTGAATTCAGATGCTTAAGTGACTGAGCCACCCAGGCACCCCGAATTTTGACCTCATGGAACCCAGATCTGTAAATTTAGAAAGGTCCTATTCATCACACTTCCCTATTCTGTAAAGCCCGTAGAGCCTGAATTCCTGGCCGACATCTCAAGAGATTTATAAGGATTAACTCAATTCCATAGGTAGAATGTTTGAGCTCCTCAGAGAAAAGCACTCTTGGATATGTTGATGAGGAACTCAGAGAGAAAGGCAAATAGTAATGCAATTGATTGATTAGTAGTGGTAATCATAAAACAGATAACACCCATTGCCACTCTGTGTGACAGGTACACCTCTAAAGCTTGACTTAACGTCGTCCCCAAGATTCCTGTGAGGTAGATACTCACACAGAAATCACCTGCAGTAAAATTTCAGGGCGCCTGGGTGACAGCTCAGAGCCTGGAGCCTGCTTCCGATTCTGTGTCTCCCTCTCTCTCTGCCCCTCCCATCCAAAAATAAATATTAAAAAAAATTATAAAGTAAAATTTTATTGAAAAAATTACTGAAATTGGGGAATACACTGTGTTGGGAAGGATGTAGAGAAACAGACATCACCATTTCTCCCTGCTACGTGGGTGTATTGGCTCCACCTTCTCGGAAAGCTATTAGGCAATATTTAATCAATCTTTCACACCCTATGACCCACCAGTTGCAGTTCTAGGAATGTATCTTACACATACTCTCACATATAATTACCAAAGATATGTGCATAAGAATATTCAGCGTAGCACTGTTTATTATAGTAGACAACAATCTTTACGCATCCATCAGAATGGCTGAAATAAAAACAAGCCACAATGACAATACCAAATGCTGGTGACTGTGTATACATTGGTGGTAGAAAAACAAAGTGGTAGAGTCACTATGGAAATTGTTTTGGCAACTGCTTATGAAGCCAAACATACACTCACCACTCAACTTAGCAATTCACTCATAGGTGTTTGCCCAGGAGAAATAAAAACTTAGGTCTACACAAAAGCCAAGATGAAATAATAGTAGATTTTTTTCAAGTTGTATTTATTTTTATTTGCATTTAACATTCTCCCTCTGTTCTTGGTAGTAAGGATAGTAAGAATACTTTTTTTTACATTTCTATTTATTTTTTAAAATTTACATCCAAGTTAGCATATAGTGCAACAATGATTTCAGAAGGAGATTCCTTAATGCCCCTCACCCCTTTAGCCCATCCCCCCTCCCACAAGGCCTTCAGTAACTCTGTTCTCCATATTTGAGAGCCTCTTATGTTTTGTCCCCCTCCCTGTTTTTATGTTATTTTTGCTTCCCTTCCCTTATGTTCATCTGTTTTGTATCTTAAAGTCCTCATCTGAGTGAAGTCATAGGATATTTGTCTTTCGCTAATTTCGCTTAGCATAATGCCCTCTAGTTCCATCCACGAGTTTGCAAATGGCAAGATTTCATTCTTTTTGATTGTATATATATACTCCATTGTATATATATATATATACACCACATCTTCTTTATCCATTCATCCATCGATGGACATTTGGGCTCTTTCATACTACTATTTCAAAGGGACACATGCACCTCAATGTTTATAGCAGCACTATCAACAACAGCCAAAGTATGTAAAGAACCCAAATGTCCATCGATGGATGAATGGATAAAGAATTAATAGTAGATTTTTTCATGACCCTCCCAGCTGGAAATGACCTAATGCCTTCCAACTGGTAAACAGATATAAATTAGCTGTGGTCTATGTCTGAACTACGGAATAATAAATACTCAGTAATAAAAAGTAACCAGCCACTGGTTGACGTAACAATGTAGGTGAATCTCGAATGCAATGGGCTTGGTGAAAGAAACAAGTCTCAAAAAGCTACACCAGGTATGATTCCACTTACAATTTTGGAAGAGGCAAAGCCCCTTTGGAAAAGATACCGAAAGTGGTTGCCAAGGGCTGGGATGCATGAAGGGGACTGTGTATAAAGACGCAATAGGATGATTTTTGGAGTCATGGAACTGTTCTATGCCTTGCTTGTGACTATGTGGTTGTGTGCATTTATCAAAATTCACAGAGCCGTACACTTGGAAGAACGAACTTTACTGCATGTACGTCTCAATCAACTTGACTTATTACAAGTTACTGGAAATCCCAGTATCATCAGTAGGGAAACTGGTTCAGTAAATTAAAGTATAGTCGTAAACAAAATACAGCCATTCCAAAGAAGATAGAGTTCTGAACATATACATATGTAATTCTCGGCAAGATGCATAGATAGAAAATTTTAAAAGCACAGTCAGGGGCGCCTGGGTGGCTCAGTTGGTTAAGCACCCGACCTCGGCTCAGGTCATGATCTCACGGTTCGTGGGTTAGAACCCCACGTCGGGCTCTGTGCTGACTGCCAGCTCAGAGCCTGGAGCCTCTTTCAGTCTGTGACTCCCTCTCTCTCTGACCCTCCCCTGCTCACACTGTCTCTCTCTCTCAGATAAAAATTTTTTTTTTAATTTTAAAAATAAAAAAATAAAAACACAGTCCAGTACATAGCACGAGGAATGTAACCAACAGGCTACCTCTGAGAAGCTGTACAAAAGAGTAGAGCAAAAATTTCCTCTTGAGAAGGAAGACTGGATATCTAGGGGGTGATGTTCAGAGAGAGACTTATGTTTTAAATCATAGACCAATTTTGATTTAAGTGTTGATTTCATTATGTGCATGCGTCACTGTGCATAATCAAGTGTGTGCACCATCAACCATCAGTGCCGCCTCCTGATTACATACCTTCACACACTCGATTCTGGAAAATGTAAGGGAATTAATACCTCCTTTGACCAATGGGAACCAGTGGATAATCCATGTCTTGGGTGGACATTTCTGAGACATATTCTAGATAGTTCCTTATGGGATCTCCGTTGGGACCGAGCTCCGCCCAGGGCGGTAACTATGACCCACCACTGCATTGGCTTCACCTCCTTCAGTTTCCCCACTCTGATTTCCCAGAATTCTTCCCAAAATAAACTATTCGCCAATAAGCCCTTGAGCCATTCTGCTTTTTGGGTTAAACCAAGCCAGGACAGTTGCCTTCACATACATATGAAGTAAATGCAGAGCCCTGGCATGACTGCTCATTACCCCAATCACAAGTTCAGCTTTCTGACCCAGGATCATTGCAACCGATCATCTCAAGTGGAGTAAATGGCATTTATGAGCTTCGCGGAATAAGATGGGAATTCTGTCATTGTGTGTCTATTCGTTTTATCGTTATACGATGTTGTAAGCTGATGTGAGTATATGTAACTGGGATGTACAGAGACCATGCTGAGCAAGGCAGGGTTAGGGGGACCTGAAGGGACCTGAAATGTCTTCATAAGCCACAGAACCTTGTTCTGATCTTTTAATACTACAGGTTCAGTTGTTGGAACACGGGTCCGCTGCCTGCTTCTATCAATGAAATCTTACTAGAACACACGGCCATGCCTGTTTTCGAATGCATAGACTGTGGGTTTTCTCACTCTACAAGGACTGAGAAGTTCCAACAGAGACCACATGGCCACAAACTTAAAATATTTGATCTGGCTCTTTAAGAAAAAGTTGGCCCACTCCCAGCTTCTTGTTCTATAATTTTTCCAGGCAAAGGGTATA